GGCCCGGGTGGGGCTCAGACCCGAAGGTCCTGCCCAGCGCAGAGCCTTACTCACTTGTGGGACTGAAATTACTGCCTCAGCCTCAGTCATTGTCGCTAACGCTCTCCAACAACAAAGTGCCGTAATGGTTTAAAATGGGGAGCGCGGGGCCTCCTGACGGCATCTCCGAATACATCAGGTCTTGATTTACTAAGACCTTAATTTTGGGGCTTATGCCAGAGACAGGGGAAAAAACAATTCACATAAGAGGCATGCAAAAATACCCAAACGAGTTCAGTATAACGTGCGTAGTAGGGCCACATACTGTGCACGCTTAGAACACAGATGTAAAAAGATAAATGTTTCATATCAAAAATGTCAGTGGTGCAGAACTACAATAACCACAGCCCTTGTTTCAAAACCCATTTTCATCACTGGTCCGTGATTCCGCCCCGTGTAATTTGCCTTTCCGTAGACTGACCTACTAAACAACGACAGCGACGGCAGCGGCCGTGGCCGCGTGCCCGGCACGCCGCCGGGGCGGGGAGAGTGGACGTTCTCACACCTGCGTCGGGCCTCGCCGCTCTCAGCGGTGACGGATCACATCGTTCCGGTCACGTGGGTTTCAGAGAAGCCCAGTTGGGCTGATCGGAATTCCTGTTTTGTGAAATTTTCTCATTGGAATGCTCTTGGTCATTTTAATTTTCTTGATTTGTGAATGTTCCCTTGTGTATTATGTTGGCCAGTGCCTTGTTTTCCAGAGTTAAGTCAACAGCAAAGACTCCACATCCAGGCAAGTGGGAGCGAGTTGACTGGGATTTAACTCTCTCTGCGCACTCCTGACACGGGACGGTAAAACAGTCGAGCCGAGTTCAACAAGCCCTCGTTTCATCAACAGTACAGCACTGACCACGAGCGGACACTGTAATTTTTCCCGGATATTTACTTCTGCTTGTTTCGGGAAGCAGAGGAGAACGGGCTCTCCGGCCGAGACTGGACGGTGTCTCTGGTCTGCTTCCCCGGACACGGGGCGGCCCCCCAAGCCGATGGGCTCAAGGGGCCTCGGTTTCACCGAATGCATGAACCACGACCCTTGTCACCACAAACTCGCATCGGTCCATACACGGCATTCCCCGACTCCATTCCGTGACGGCGCGAGACCAACTGTTCTTTCAGACCATGTGACCGTAACCCGTAAACAACAAGATGACCAAGCCAAGAGCACGAGCCGACTGGATTACTCACCCAGGTCTGCGGTCTCCCGGCCCCGGGGCTCCACGGGGCGTCTTCGTCACTGATGAGGACGGACTGAGATGGCCGAGACGCCACCGCCCTGGGACACAAGACAGATGCACAACGGGGCGTGAAGCACGCGCGGCGTCGGCTCATGCTCGGCGCCGATTCGCCCAGCGAACATCTGTGTAATTTCACCATCGTCTCGCCACTCCTCACACCAGTAGTGACAACTTCCGCTGCTGTGTCTCAGCGGACTGAGGCATTCCAGAGCTGAATCCCCAGTATCCTCAAAACTGATCCGTGCCCTGAGCTCTCCTCTTTACTTAGGAATATATTTTTATTATCCACTCATGTATTCACTGATGACATGAGATCAACAGCCACGAGCCCTCTCAACTAAACTCAAACTTCCCTAAGATGACTCCCCCAAGAGTCACATGGTCGTTCTCTTTCTGCAGCGGACCTCAGTGGTTCAAACAGACTGATCATAATTGCCATTCAGATGCATTCCACTTACATCATTGGTCCAGGAGCGGCTCTTCCGCATTTAATTTAAACCGTTTGGGGATGTCACAGTGAACATCCACCAACCACTACCCTGCTCGGCAGCTGGAAAACCGGCTCCCAGAGTGAGACAGAGCCTCGGTCTTTATCGAGAAGGGGGTGTCTACAGACAAAAACCCTCGGACACAGACAGCAGGGTGGCGGCGAACAGAGGGAAGGAGGCGGGAGGAAGTGGAAGAGGTACAGGGGACACACGCGGGGACAAAGGGAGATGCACCCTGGGGCGGTAAATACATACTGCAGCGTACAGGTGGTGTGTTAGAGAACTGTACACCCCAAACCTACGTGATCTCACTGACCACTGTCACCCCAATACACTTAATAAAAATTTTTAAAAAATCAATGAGACAAAAACGTAAAATGAGACATTTAAGTTTTGAAATGGATGGGAAAAGCTGACTTTTTTCTTGCAGTTCCTTTGTGCTGAACTGGATTATTGTATGCTTTGGCTCACAACATATTCTCCTCGTGAATCTATATGTGGCACTTAAAGATTTAATCACATTTTTTTTAACGATATAATGGAAACCCGTGGACTAACCACTCAACGCTAGAATGTTACCACTTACATAGCACGATGCACTCCTTCCCCGGAGGGCAGGGCAGACACCCTCACAACTGGAGAACCGCTTCATCAGCTGTGGCGCGCCCCAAATCCTGTGGAACGTGAGAAGATGCTGGCAAATGAAACAGCCTACAATAGGATTTAATTCATTGAACATCGGGCAACCTCGGAAGAAATTAAGCGTAAACAATGGTTTACGTCACATCCTTATCTCTGGCTCTTGAATGGACCTCCATTTTATTAAAGTATTCACTTATCCACTTTAAAAATATAATAAATGGGCCCTGACTGGTGTAGCTCATTGGATTGCGTGCAGACTGAGAACCAAAGGGTCGCCGGTTTGATTCTGAGTCAGGGCACATGCCTGGGTTGTGAGCCAGGTCCTCAGTAGGGGGCGCTCAAGAGGCAACCGCACATTGATGTTTCTCTCCCCCTCCTTCTCTTCCCCTCTCTCTAATAAAAAAAAAACAACAAATAAAAATATAATAAACGCCCTCCAGCGAGCCACCCAACACCAGCACCGACAGGGCGGCGGTGGCGGCGGCTGCTGTGCTGCATGGGCCTCATCACGACCTTGCCCTGAGGACACGGCCTCGCCCCTGGTCCTCCGGTGGCTCCCGTGAGTCTGCGCCCGGCCTTCCGTCCCACACTGAGTGCCCCGACAGCCCGCCCGACACACACAGAACTCGGGCCCTGACCCGCCCGGAACCTCCAGGGTCTCGGTCACTACGGAATGGTCATGGGCCCGAGCGGTCTGTTCTGTGGAGTAGAAAACAGAGGGAAAAAAGGAAAACATGGGAACCATTTTTAATAACTTAAAATTTTTAAAATAAAATACGTGCGACTGTACATTGCCAAAAAGGGAAAGAGAGAGGAAAGGGTTTCTGTTGCCTCGTGTCCCCCTCGATCCACCGCTGTGTGGCGTTGCCTGACTGACTGATGGATTCCTTTACCTCTGTCTCTCTTAGTGAAATCGGCACATGGAAACGAGGTGGAGACATTATCTCCGTGAACCTAACGTTTCCGTAGTTATTTAGGTATTTATTCACTGATGGTAAAATCTTTCTTTTTCTCTGCATAAAAATCAAGTTCAAACTTGCAGCGGACTCAGGACAATCACTGACCACCACCTCCTACCGTCAAAACTGACACAATGCACTCGGTCCATTCCCTTACTTATGGATTTATCTGTTCCAAAGTACCAAATTCATTAACTCACCAATAACAATTGTAAACCCCCTTATTCAAGAACGGCCCTGAGATCCCTATTCTGTACACAGAATTATTTTCACCTCAATACCTCTTTCTTTCATTTAAATATCCCGTATTTTTATGTTTCAGATGAATTCAACACTTACCAGTCAGTGTGCTACAGCGACCACCTTTATCACACGTGGCGCTTTTCAGTAACACACGGGATGCCTGCCTCCCCCCCCCCCAAAAAGCACAGAGGCCCAGACAAGGATTTTGACCAACTCTGTTTCAAAACCTGGCCTCGAGGTTGCATTTATGCATTAATCAATGTAATGTTTCATATCAACCTGATATTTTACATTACTGTTTGGCCTTATTTCATTATATTTAATATTTTGTGGGGTTTTTTAAAGATTTTATTTATTTATTTTTAGAGAGGGAAGGGAGGGAGAGAGAGAGAAACATGAATGTGCGGTTGCTGAGGGTCATGGCCTGCAACCCAGGCATGTGCCCTGGCTGGGAATTGAACCTGCGACACTTTGGTTCGCAGCCTGAGCTCAATCCACTGAGCTGCACCAGCCAGGGCCTTATCATATTTAATATTTTGAATAATACAGTGAATACTCTCAAACAAGCCGCCCAAGCCAAAATACTGACGTGGCCGCCAGGGGTGTCCCCGCTCCGACCACACGGAGGCAGCCGGAGCGCGGGGACCGTGGCAGCTGCTCGGAGCGGGAAGGGGCACAGCCGAGGACGACGGAGTGAGGCCGGCTCTGCGCGGGGAGAGAGACTCCAAGTTCCGAGTGCGCGCGGGCTGCTGTCCTTCGCGCCCCTCCCCCGCAGGGGCCCTGCTGGCCCGGAAGACCACCGCGTCCCCATTCATTCCCACGTTGAGGACTGATGAATCCGCCCACTCACTGATTAGCACTTCAGAACCCGAGCATTGAAAAACCCAACAAAGCCTTGGTATTTTCGGTATAATGAGAATCATTCTCACAACAACCTATGTCCACCTCTGATTATTCTGTTTTCCTATATGTATTCATCAAAAGAACAATTCGTATTCACGCCGTACCTGTGACTAGGAACCCATTCGCCCTCTCCGAGTCTATTTCACACGTTTTGTTACCGCGGTGAATGTCCTCCCGTGACTCACGCTGACCGCGTCACCCTCAGCCATCCCGGGGACGGCCGTGTGCCATTCCCTGCTAATTAAACTTCCGGATGTTCATAACACCTCAGCAGGGTTTCTTGGAATAATCACGTACTTTTCTAATTGGACAACACCTCACTGCATTCATCTTTACTTACACATTCATCTATGGATTCTCGCCTCTCTCCTGTTGCGATAACAGAGTGGAAATGCAGGAACACTGACAGCAAAAAGAAGATGCACGAGTGTTCCCAACGCATGTGCACAGCAGCCCTTTCCACGGTGGGCATGGGGTCCACGTCCCCGGTGTCGGGCCCCAGAGGTCCAGACACTTGGTCACCGCCCACGATGCAGGTGCCACCGGGGGTCATCAGTGACCCTATCGCCCCTCGATGTCTTCTTTCTAATCGTTTGTTGATTAGATCATTAATTCACTAATAATAGTGTGTAAACATTATGACTTACCAAACCCAAGAAGAGTTATTACACCACTCATCTGTAGATATTATTTTTACATCGGTGTATCTCTTTGATTGATTATCCCTGCTTTTCATACCTGGATTAATCAATATAATGGTTCATGTATCCCATATTTATCACTGGGATGCATTCCTTATTTAATTATATTTTATAATTTTTAATAATGCAGTGAATTACCTTAAAAAACCCTTAACCAAGAAAATAAAACGTGGACTATTACTCACATTAATCTCCATCCTCCCCTTCCAAAGCGGCGGCCAGAGACCTCGTGGCCGCGGAGACGCTGCGGCGGCTCGTGCGTGTCCGAGGAGCGCAGCGCAGAGCAGGTGACACTCACAGTGGCGGGCGAAGGGGCACTGGCCCTGGCCGAGCACACCCCCAGACTCAGGGTGGAGACACGTCTCCTATCCTAATGTGCACGCAGTCACCCTGACAGGACGGGAAACTCGGTCTCGACGCTGACCCGGGACAACACAACAGAGTCATACGGACCCGTGTCAGTGTGACCCTCAGCCCAACGGGAAACCCATGCCGCGTCCGTGTCTCCATAAACGTGTCTTTTCAGTTTCTTAACACCACCCTTGGCCTCACCGCGTCCATTCACAGTTATACACTGCCTCGCCCTGTTCTTTACATTTTTAACTGTTTGTTTAATACTTCGTCAATTCTATTACTAATGACGTATCTATGAAATCAGTACAGAAATATGGCCTTTGTATCGATTTGTTTTCATCCTGACATTGGTCCAGAGAAACAGGTGGTCTATAAAATCAGTAAAATTCCTTGCCTAAATTGTAATCAGAAATATTTCACTCCCTCCACATTGATTTCTTTGTGTATTTGTTTACTGATTATTTTATCGATCCAATTATAAAACAGAAAGAAAGGCATGAACATAAAAACCAAAAACAAGACCCTTATACAAATGCTCCCTGACACCTGACGATAGCATCCCTTTTTTTGTCTTAGTTTACTTTTTATCATTTTCATTAAACACTCGTGATCCCCATGTACCAAAATTAAAACACGGGGATTGAATTACCCCAGTTTTCCCTAGGACGGGAAGCACCACCTGCGACAGGAACGAGGGACCAGGCCCCACTGCTCAGCAGCCGTGACTCACCGCTGACCTAACACCGGCCCCCTCCTCTTCATTCACTTCCGCGTTGCTTGTTGACGAACCACTACTCGCGATTTTAAAACTGGGTGAAGCCCCACACCCCCGAGAAGACACTGATATCCCCATTAGGTAACTAAAATCACTCTTACATCAATATACCTCTTTCGTTCATATGTTTTGAGGGATAACCAACGTGCTGTTTCATATTAATTCAACATCGCTGCGTGGCCCACCGCTGGCCTTCTTTGTTGTGTACAGCACTTTTCAGAAACATGCGAAATGCTCTGGGAAAAGACTCACTGAAACCAGAGAGGAACTGCCACCACCGCTGTCCTCCGTCTCCGTGCCCCGGACGTGGAGACGGTGCCCTGGAGGTGACGCTGTGGGGGGACGCTTCCTGGGCTCCGGGGTCCGTTCTGAGAAGCACAGAGCGAGGCCGAACGTGAGCAAATACCAAGATCTGATCACCCTCTCGGGAGCTGCGCTTCCAAACCTCACTGCCTGAGTTGTTCGGGCATTTAAAATCCGGGCACAGAGTTTTCTCTTAACCTCAGACTTGAGACTGACCCGAAACAATTCATTTTCTCTTGATTATTTTTTTAATTGAATGTGCTGACACTGGTGAAGGAGCTTATACAGGTTTCCAGTGCACGATTCTACGGCATGTCATCTGTCTCTTACACGGCGTGCCCGGGGCCCAAGGTCGAACCACGCCCCCTGCTCTCTGCTGACCGCCATGCTGTTGTCTGTGTGTCCGAGTTTCTGTTTGTCTCTCTGGTTTCTTCACTTGTTACTTTCAGTGTCGTATCGCACAGGAGGGAAATCGCGATTCCTGACTTTTTCTGACTGACTTTGCACAGCGTGACGTGCGCAAGGCAAGCCTGTGTCTTTACCCAGCCAAACAGGTAACACCACTGCTCAGTGCATTCTTAACAGACTCGGGGCTTCCAGTTGTTTATAGTGTTTCCCTCCTGGCCATGTGTGATCAACTTGTGCACAGTGTTTCACCCTTTTTTGCTTTAGTATTCGTATTTCCTTCATGGTTCCAAATACCCATTAGTAATAATAAATGTGAGAACTAGGAAGCTAAACTAAAAACACCATCATTGCATTTTCTGAACACCCGTCTACAGTGTCAAAGGCATTGCGAGGGACCTCAGAGTTCAACACACATTATTCCAACGGCTACAGCACCATCGCTGGTCCATGGGAAGTCTACTTTCTCTCCCTTCGCTCCTCTGTTTGTATGGGTCACCTCATTAATTCAGGGATCATAACAAAATATACACAGAATTCACAAAAACTTATTAGCACGTGAGAACCCTGAAGCCCTTTCTGTGGGAACCGCCAACATGGGTTACCTGTCTTTCATCAGCCGGCCTCCGTGTTACGTCAATGGGTCACGGGAGTGCTTTGTAGCATATTTACTATTGGCCAACAGATACCCTTTGGATAATATTTATTATTTTTAATAATACCGTAAATATCCCTGAACAAGGACGCAAACCAAAACCAGACCTTTGACGTTCACTCACGCGGTCTCTGGTATGAAGGCAGAGCGGCCGTCTGGTCCCAGAGGGGACAAAACAAACGAGCTTGGTCGCCTCTTCCGAATAGTACCGAGCAGAGAAGCTGATGAAAATGTTGAGACTCGCTCCATTTACTCATCGTTGTCACTCTTCCTCTGTATAGTCATTTAGGTGTTAATTTATGATGATATTTATTTCCTTTTAACTTCATAAAATAACCTTCAAACATGCAACTGACTTAGGCAATAGCTAACAATTACACTTCATTGTTTTTTATCAACTTCAGACAAAGACAGAACACCTTTGGTCCACCTGGTATTCTTCCTAATGTGTGTTCATGTTCTTTACCTTGCTCTGTGCTAATCAAAGAACAGTGCCTTACCCTCTCCTTCTTTCTTCATCTATACATTTGTTTGTTACACTTTGTTAAGTATTATGAAAATCGTGACTCCAAAGACTGGCACAGCTGTGTGTGCCTGACACCCGTCTGCAGGATCCCTGGACACTCGGGGAATGAACTCGTGACCTCAGCGTGGACTGCAGAGCTCCAGTGCATCGCACCCAGGGTCCCCCCGTCGTCATCGTGGGGCCCTGACCGCCCCTCTGTCTTTCCCGTCTCATAAACATTTGTTAAGTAACAAAGAAATAATCCGTAAGATCATTTCCACACAGAATATGCTGATTTCCGCATTCTATTTACAGGTTGGCAATGACATGCTTCTAATAAATGTGACGTTTTACAGTGGGCTGTTTCCACCTTCTGTGGTCACATTTAATTGCTTCTGGAAAACACAGTGCACATCCGTAAACAAACCACTCAAGCTAAGACAATGACTTCGCCCGTTACTCACCCGGGCTCCGTGTTTCTGCGACGCAGACGGAAACCGCGCACCCAGCGCCGCGGGGAAATGTCACGTTCGGCTGCAGGGCGTCCGCTCCAAGGAGAAGAGGGCAGAGCAGATGATAAAAACAGAGACTTCCTCCCACTGACCCTTACACTTCACATCCTTCACGGAGACACTCAGGCATCTGTCACTGAGGTCCGTGGACCTCATTGTCTTTTGTCAAAACAAAGTACCTTGAACTTCCCTCTGCCCCAGAACACAAACACGGGCTATAATTGACCTGGCGACGCGGCACCCTTCGCCAGTCATGTGCCCTTCATTTCCCTTTGGACTGCACATTTTCTAGTCGTATTAATAGGATTTACTGCAGCCCCACACGTTTTGAACTGCATGAGGCAACGACCATTCGGCTTCATTTTTATAGATTTCTTCACTGATCACTCGCTGGCCCAACTCTACTCGGGAATGAAAATGTGCAGGGAAGACCTCACTGTGGGTGTCGAACCCCCGACACGCGGCGGTCATCACCACTGACCCAGAAGACCACTTGGTCTTCTTTCACTTCTGCACGGCTTCGTGATTAGTCCACTAACTCACTGGTGAAAAATGTTAAACTCTATGACCCCCAAAAGCTCACCAAGACCTTAATATCCCTCCCATGTATCAAGAAACATTCCTATACCAATATCTCCATCATTACACTCCGTTTTTTAATGTGTTTCAATCAATATAATGCTTCTTACGAATCCCATAACTGTTACCAGGATATGGTTTACCTTCTTTGATTCCAGTTCACACTTCCTGTTAACACAGTGAACACCCTGAGACAAAGCACCAGAACCAAGGCAGGAACTTGCACTGCCACGCACGCCGGCCAACCCCACAGCTCCCGACCAGGGAGGAGTCCTTCCGTGAGGTCCAGCGTCTGTGCTGAGAAGCATAAAGCCAATGATAAGAAATAGCCGAGACCTTCTTGCCATTGCCCCTTGCTCTTCACATTCTGTTTGGCCAGCAGTCTGAGCGATCATTAACTGGGCGTGTTTGTGGCCCTTAAAGAAAAGAGCAGAGTCGATCTTGCAACCTGGCCCAGAACCTGAACACTGCCTGTGACTTACACTGTTTGTCATCCTCATACAGGGGACCGTCATGGGCCATTTATTTCTAATTGAACTTCAGGGTTTTCATAATCTATCAATAGTATTTCTTGCATAATCACATAATGTAATTGGGCAATGCTTCACTGCACTCATCTTTATTCATTTGTGGGTTTGTAGACCCTCCCATTTATCCAACTATAATAATAGAATGACAATGCAGGGAAGACTACAACCAAGATCAAGATCCCTGTATATTCCTGACATCTGTCCATGGGACCCCCTTACCCAGTGGGCGTGAACCCCGCTCTCCCACGCTGAACCCCGGAGTCGGCCACGTGTTTACCGTGAACGTCTCATACGCCCCCAGTGGTCATCACGGGCCGATACTGTCTCCTTTCCTTCAGTCACGTCTATAGGTGTATTGATCAAATCATTAATTCGCTACTAATGATTTCTAAGCTCCGATTTAAAAACCCCCGGCAGAGTCATTGTATCTCTAGGCCGTACGTGGATTATTCTCACATCGATGGGTCTCTTTCATTAATCATCAGTTTCCCATTGGGTTAAATCAATATAGTGTTTCAAATGTCCCATACTTATCACCGAGAGGCAGCTGCCATCTTTAATTATATTTCAGACTTTCTAATAATGCGGTAAGTTATCTTTGTAAAAACCATGGAAATCGAGAAAATAGTTTTTCCCGTTACTCACATTAACCTCCGTCTTCTTCTGCAGAGGCAGCCGCACGGCTCCTGCCCGTGGGAGGGGCTGCCGTCAGGGCGCGCCGCGGCCGCCTGAGGAGCACAGGGCAGAACGGACAACAGCGGAGGCTTAGACGTCATGCCAACGGTCACTGCCTTCACCTAGCCTGTCACTCGGTCATTCACGTAGTCAGTGCGTAGGGACCTTGTGTACTTTCTCATAAGTGAATGAACAATGTCGACCTGACCACTGATGGTCACGAACCCTGGCTACCCCTTATCACTATCGCCATCAGCTGGGGTCCCAGAGTCATGACCTTGTGCCACATTACTCCTTTTCAATGTCGGGGGTTGACATATACATTGATACTAGTCCTTGCCTAGCCACCTATTTTTATAATCGGACAATATTTCACCACCTTTATCTCTTTATTTCCTGTTTGTTCACTGATTATTTCATGGGTCCAATTATAAAAATAGACTAGATTTCTTTTATATTGGACCTCAGAGTTACAGACACGTAGTCACAGTCTAAGACTCATACGCCACCCTCAGTCATCATTGATCCAATATTGTCCTTTCCTCCAACATTTCTACACTGCTTACTGGCTAATTCGTTAATTTACTAATAGTAATTTTAAATGCTATTATTCACAACACCCAAGACGGGTTATGATATTCTCCCTCTGCATATAGACTCATTCTCACATCAATAATTTCTTTATTATCTTAAATTTCATGTATGTAATAATTAATATAATGTCTCATTAGTTCAATAGTTGTAACTGGGCTATCGTCCCCAAATCTTGACTCCAAATGGCACTTTTTATACATGTAAGTGTCCTTCAAAAACAAGGGGGAAACCAAGACAAGCGTCTGGACTCCTACTCACGTGGGCCTCGGTGCCGGCCACGCCGAGGTGCGGTCAGAGGGCGTGCGCCGGGGGCGGTGTGCGGGAAGGGGGGCGGGAGAGCGTTCCTGCCTCCGCTGACCCCTGCTTTCCACCTTTCGCTGACTCGTTCAGGGGTTTACGGATCGTCCACGAGGCCAATGCGGTTTCCTCCGAGCATGACGGCGGCCCTGGAAAAGTGAACGGCTCTTCCTGATCAGTGTCGACACGAGCCCGGGGCAACACCCGGGTCCCTGACTCCTTCATGGGCATCAGTGTTTTCAACGTTACTGCTACTTCTTGCCTCACCATGTAGGTTCATAGGTGGACAATACAGTGCTTCCCCCCTTGGCTTTACCTATTATTGATTGATCTGTACCTGTCTTTACTGATCCTACACTTGACCTGTTATGACAAATCTAAGTCCACAAACTCGAAAGAAGGACATGATCTTTGCCTCTTTCCAACATCGGTCTGCAGGGTCGGACACGGCAGAGGGAAGACTACTATCACGATGGGCCTCGGATACCCTTCACCGTCTGTGACGCACCCGCCACCAGTGGGCGTCACTGGTGCACGGAAGGCCCAATTTTCATCCACTTGTTATTGACAAAACCCTTAATTCACTAAAAACAATAAAATAAACCTTTGATTCCAAAACACTAAGGAAGAAGGCGTTTGAACGCCCCACCTTCGGCGGCAGAACCTTCGCCAGCCTACGTCAGATGTGTTTCATCCATCGACCTCGATGCTGCCTATTGAGTTAATCAACAGAATGTTTTTATATCCTATTCATCGCTGGGCTACACTTGACTTTCCTTTTGTTATTTTTTCATGACACCATGAATACGCTAAAACACGTGGCCCAAACCAGAACAAAACTGGACCCTGGCTCACCTTGACTGCCTTCCTAAAAGAAGGAGAACGTGACGGTCAGCCTTGACCGCGACGGACCGCCGTCGGCCCAGCGCCTGCTCTGTGGAGTTGCAAATGGAGGGGGAGAGAGAGCGGGTGAGACCCTCTCTCATCTGTCCCACCGTACATCATTCCACAGCCATTTAGGCACTCGTGCGCTTATGAAAACATGCATGCATTTTGATCTTAAAAATAAACTTAAGCCTTGCATGTGAATCAGGCAAACGCCGACGACGACATTCCATTATCTCTGTGAGCCTTCGGGAAAGGTGCGATGCACATGGCCCTCTTGTGCCCACTCTGAAGGATGCGAATACACTCACCTCACTGCATGTTTACCGAGGAAAATACTTCAGCCTCTTCATCATCGTCCCTTTGTACACTTGTTTGTTTACTCTACCGCCAACACTTCCATAAATTAGTTTGTAAAATTCATGAACACAAAGACTAGGAACAAACCCCTTCTCATATCCTAACCTCTGCCTATAGGCTCCCTATGACGTGCAGAGTTGGACAAGATGGCTTTTGCGGCGGCCCTCAGAGGTCCAGCGACGCAGTAATCACCGTGTACGACTCAGGGGCCAGCAGTGACCATTGTTAATCCGTGGACTCACTAACTGTGATTTTAAAACTATATGATTCACAAAAGGCCAAGAAAGGCATTGATATCCTTAATGGGTACAGAGAATCATTACTTGTCTTGCTTTTCATCAGTAACTCAATCAATGCGTTTCTTTCCGTTAAACCTGCATTTGTCCCGAGGCCCGGTTCAGCTTCCTTGACAACGCTTCCTACTTTTTACCGAGACAGCGGCCACCCACAGACGCGCCCCCCGCACAAGGTGAGAACCTGACTGCTACTCATGCTGGTCTCCCGGGTCCCGGAACGGAACTGTCACCGCAAGGCTCTCAGTCAAGAAAGAATCCTTAAAGCAGGTGGCACTGTCCCGTTCTGGGGAGCGCAAAGCACAGAAGATGATAAAAGGGGTTGAGACCTTCTCGCCATTGACCTTTGCATTTTATCTCTCACTTACTCAGCCACTGGGCCATCGTGAAATAATTTTTCCCTTAACAAAAGGAGGGATGTTGGTCGTGCAAACTGACCCAGAATCTGAACATTATCTGAGACTCATGTCACCCTCGCAGAGGTCGCAGTCGTGTGGCACTCACTGCCTTCTAATCACACCCCGGGCATTCATAACACGGGCCTAGTGTTTCTTGTAAAACCGCATATTTTTATAATTGGACAATGCTACACTCCTCTATATATATATTCATTCATTCATTCATTCATTCATTCTCACATTTATCCAACTGCAGATGCCACCAGTCTCTGACCCAATATCATTTCCTTCATCCATCTCTCATTGTTTATCTGCTTATTCATTAATTCGCAAGTAATTTTCAATACTATCATTCACAAAAACTCAGGAAGAGCTTGTACGCCCCTGACGTGCACAGAGGTCACCCTCACTCCCGTGTGTCTCTTCTGCTAATTACCCTCAGGTCTCCGCGGTGGGTCAGTCGCTGGAACGACTCCTCTGTCCCATCTTTATCACTGAGAGACGCTGCCTCCTTTACCTGCATGCTGTGCTTTTTAATAATTCAGTGACTGGCTTTACAGAAACACTTAGCCCAAGAAAACAGCTTCTCCTGTCACTCACGTTAATCTCCGTCCTCCCGCTGCACGCGGAGAGGCGGCCACGGAGCCCGTGCCCACGGGGAACACGCTTCAGTCAGCTCGAGCGCGGCCGCCCTCGGGGGGAGAGAACAACACGGGGATAAAGAAAGAATGAGATTACGCTCCTAACTCCCTGAATTCCTGCTCTCATGGAGCCAATCATTGCCGAGCAGTGAACTGAAATAACGCGTATTTTATTTTCTCTAAGCAAATGAACGATATCGACCTAGCCGCCAAGAGAACATAAACATTCACTATTACTTATCGATAACTATATCATCCTTCATCAAAAAGCGACACCCTTGCGTTTTAAATATGCACGAATCCTGCTCCTTGCCTAACCACGTATTTTTATAATTGGACAATATTTCACCCCCTTCATCTTTATTTATGTATTTATTGATTTGATGGATCGAATTATAAGAACAGAGAGAAAATACATGAACATAAAGAAGAAAAACAAGACCTTTGTATAGGCCTGCCATCTGTCTACAGGAGCACCTCAGGCGGGACAGTGGCCACACTGCACTTCCGGTGGACCGCAGGGTTGGACACGTCGTCACTGTGCATGACCCAGACGCCACCAGTGGTCACCACTGATCCAATATAGGCCCAGGTTTTTCATTCATTTCTACATTGTTCATGGGCCAATTCATTCACTCACTAACAATGTTAAAACCCTGTTATTCACAAAAACACAGGAAGAGCCACGATACCCCTACTCTGTAAATACAATCATTCTCACGTCAGGGTCTCTTTTCTAAAACTATGCTCTTCATTTATACATTAATCCGTATAACGTATCATAAAATTCGGGGTGTGTCACTGAGCTGCAGCTGGCCTTCGACGCTTCCATGTGAACCTTCTGAATGACAGACAGAACGCTGCCAAAGAAAGTCACTGACATCAAGACGAGAACCCCGACGGTCACTCACATCGGTCCGTGCGCTGCTCACGGGTGCGCGATCGGGGCCTCCGCCACGGACAGTGCTTTACGTGTCCATTCTGCAAGTACAAATGCCGAGGTCAGGCATAGAAAACCCACAAACACAATTTTTATTCCCATAGAGTCTCAATTTCCACAATTCATTTACTCATTTAGAATATTCATAAATGTTTCATACTGGAGATTATTTTTTCTTTTAACCAAAAGAAAAACCTCAAACGTGAGACTGACCCGGAACAAGAAAATTAACTCTTAGTTATTCATGTCTTATCACTCTTGCCCAAAGAGGCCATGTCCTTGATCCATTTATTTCATAACGGGTATCAGTGTTCGCAACTTTTATTAATATTTCTTATCACATGTGTCTACAGTTAGATAATGCACCCTTTCTTCTGCAACTATTATTTATATATTTTTACTAATGTTATCACTGACCCATTAATAAAAATAAATCTAAACCTATTCACCCAAAATAAGAACATGATTTTTATGCGTCCTTAACATCTGTAAATCGGATCGCATACACGGAGAAAGTCGAGCTGGTTGGTGTCGGGTCTCAGGACCCAGACACATGTCGTCGTCATCCTCGCCCGGGACGCAGAGGCCGCCGGCCGTGGTCACGGCTCGCTGAAGGCTCGCTTGCAGTTCGCGCACTTACGTATCTGCAACTGACGAGCACCAGGCCAGGGCACACCTGAGCGTCTCTCGCTACCTTCTCTGGAGTCACGCCGAAACAGACGATCTGTCTTAAATGCCCATCAATGTCACCTCCTGTTGTTTGTTTGTTTTCCAGTCACGCAGTCTCTGCTCTACTTTAAACAGTTTCGCCAGCTGTGAACACATTTCCAAACATTACGATCGCTGGGTTTTGCCAGTTCTAGGATTTTACACGAGGAGAATAGTACCTGGGCCTCCTCCGCCTGCCCAGCCGGTGAGGGAGACACCCGCATGGGGGTTTGTGGACACACAGTTTACTGACTGGGTTCTCCACTCTGAAGTTTATTTCTGTATTGCTTTCAGGTGTACAGCGCAATGGTTTGACAGTCACATACTTTACATAGCCTCCCCTCGGTATCCCTGTGACAAGGGGCACCACACATAGTTGTCACACTGCTATCTGTTGGTTGTGTTCCCTACGCCGCAGTTGACGCCCTGTGACTGTGCTGTAACCACCGATCTGAACCCCTCAGTCCCTTCCCCTTTCGCCCGGCCCCCCAAACCCCTCCTCTCCGGGTGTTTCTGTTACGAGGTCGAGTTGTAGTTCTTCCTATGCTTGTGCCAGGAGGCCAAGTGTGTTCACCCACGCCCCCACCTTGACTGGAAGTCCACTTGTTTCATCTTCTATGAAGTGGACAGTATTGGGATCTTGCCCCGACACAGAGTACGGACCCCGAGCCTCAGTTAACAGAGTCTAGCGTCCTTAGCCAAAGGGCTGCACCCTCACGCCGCAGCTTCCCTCGTAAACACTGGTCTTTCCGGTACTCATTAACGCCGGCTCCGCTGCAGGGGTTTTTCCTGGTCACACATTTTTATAACTGGACAAGACTTCATAGCCCTCATTCTTACTGATTTACGCACGTCCGCACGGATCACTTCACTGACCCAATTATGAAAATAGGACAATGGACGCACACGAGGACCTGTTCCCACGCCCGAGGTCCCTCGCCCCTGCCTACAGGGTCCCTCCCGGCGGGAACAACGGACCGGATTCCCCGTGTGCTGGACGCCGGGGTCCCAGACACGTAGTCACCGCCTGCGCCACCAGGAGTCATCACTGATCCACACTGGACCTCTCCTCTTCGTTCAGTAGAACTGCGATTCATTCGCTGACCAGTTAATTCAGTAATTGTAATTATTTATTGATCAGTTAATTCGGTAATTATAATTTGTAAAAAATGATTATGCACAGAAATCCATGAGGAATCCAGGTGTCCCCCATAGAGGTTTAGAATCATTTTCATATCAATATCTCTCATTACTTATTCAATTTTCACTACGTTCATTAATCAGTGTAATGCTTCGCATTAATCCCACGTTTCTCAGTGGGCTATTTGGACTTCATTGACTACACTTCCCAGTTCTCAACAGCGCAGTGAGATCCCTCAAGCAGTGGCGGTAAGACGAGAACTCGGACTGCTACTCACATGGTCCCCACACTCCTGACCCTGCACGCAGCCAGGGAGCCCGTGACGGCGGGAGGTGCCTGGATCAGCCCGGGAGCGTCCGTTCTACAGAGCACAGAGCAGAGCAGACGATGAAACACAAGGAACACGGATGGAGCACTCGTGGTCACGGACAAGGGGGTGGGGGCTGGCCGGGGGAGTGGGCAGGGCGGGAGGGAGCAGCAGGGAAAAGGGTGGGGCGACTGTAATTGAGTGACAGTAATAAAAAAATTGCATGTGTCCTTTAAAAAATTGGAACTTTCTGCCCTGGCTGGCGTAGCTCAGTGGATTGAGCGCGGGCTGCGAACCAAAGTGTCACAGGTTCAATTCCAGTCAGGGCACATGCCTGGGTTGCAGGCCACGGCCCCCAGCAACCGCACATTGATGTTTCTCTCTCTCTCTTTCTTCCTCCCTTCCCTCTCTAAAAATAAAATAAATAAAATATTTAAAAACAATTAGAACTTTCTCTCCACTGATCCTTGTATTTTGCATTTTATTTCTTTAGTTAGACATTCATTAATTTTTTATAATATAGTATGCTTTCTCTTAACGAAAGAAAATCTTGAACTTGACACTGACCCGGAGCCATGACTTTGAGTCTCACTCATCAGTGTCCACGTGGTTCTCAGACAAAAGGGCAAATGCCTCTTCCATTACTGCTGAGTAAGTGTGATTTTAATTTTACTGGAAACATTCTTGCCTCACTACCTGTGTTCCCAGCTGGACAATGTTCCACTCTCTTCTCATTAGCTGTTGATTACATTCTTGGGGGTTTGACCACTGATTCATTGATAACAATAATCTACATCTATAAACT